AGCCCAGGAAGGAAAGGGGGGGGGGGGGGGGAATGGCGGTTTTTAGAGGGTTTCAATGCGGTTAACCGGTAGATTAGACGTAAAACTGACAACTTTTAATCGGTCGTCATAAAAAACTTAACCGTAAAAATTTTGTCTGGTGACCACAATGGAAAATTATCAACCGTTAGCCTTAAATTGGCCAAAATTTTAACCGTTGGCCGTAAATACCATCGATCACCCCATTGACATGATAGAGACCCTCCTTTTAGGGGAGAACTGAGGGAGGATCGCTCTTCGCCAACAGAGTCTAATGGGGGAAGGGGCATAGAAAATTGACTGCCAGTGAGGGGATTTCATTAGAATACTACAGAGCCAAATGGGGGATCACATGGTTTACCGTGGGTCTCGATGGGGTTAACCTTAATCAGGTAAGTATCATTTTGACACAACCCCTCCCCACAGGGGAAAGATGATGACTGGTACCTTGGTTTTACTCTCTACCAATCCGAAAAATCTCTACATTTGAGCTCAGTAATCACTTAGGTCAGTCACATTTTTGCTTTGTTGAGTTTACTCTGCCCTTCTGGGATACTGCGTATATGCGCGTATGGAGGGAATCCCATTGCAGCCTGTAAATAATGATAATAAAAAAAAAAGACTTCAATAAATCATTACAATTTGGCTCGCTTAATCGTATTCTGATATGAAAGAAAATGAAAAAGGAAGGAGGAGGAATGACTCTTAGTTGAAAATTTGATAAATTTATCTTCTCTGTGGTTAATCCTTTCACTTCCAAACTAAGATCTCATTAGAAATTCTCTTTGCTGTCTACTTTACAATTCTTATGGTGTTCCTCGGAGAATTTGGTAGTGGATCAACTTATAATACCCTAGTTGATATTTTTGTCTATTCCCATCACTTGTCTGCTTGATATTGTATTGATATTGTAAGGAGAACGAATTCTGTCTTCTTCACTCATGGCAGTTAAGGTGGCTCGTACCGGTTTTCATCTTTTTGATGGTTTGTAACTTTGAAAGAATACAACAGAAAGACTGACCAAAGCCAGTTGAACACTTTTACGGGGTTGAATTA